AGAGTGCATCTCATGGGCTCTTCCTCCTGTTACATTCTCTTCTCAGTAGTGGCTGCCCCTTCTGCTTCATTAGCAGTTTTTTTGTACTTTGATACCTTGGGCCTTTGTGTAGCGTGGTGCCAACTGCCTTGTCCTGCTGTCTCACCCTCTCTTCTCCTCCATAGCAAAGCCTGCCTAATGCTAAAAAGCTGATTGTAAATGAAGCAGAAGCTGAACTTCTCAGAAGCCATGCTTGCCCTCAGCCCTATCTCCAGCTATCTCTAATGGTGACTTTGAGCAGAGGTAATTTTCTCCATTATCTAATGGAGTTTGGGATGGTAAGGATGAAAAAAATTGGAAAAGCTGGGCTAGAACCTCAGGGGTCCCCCATTTTCTAATAACCCCAAAATGGGTCTAGGAGAAATCTACTAGTACAGGCCACTACCTGTGTCTAAATTCCTATGCCAGATGCCCTACAGACTTTGTGTCACGTAATCCTTTCAACAGTTGTATGGAACAAACCTTGTTGCTAACTTCCTCATCATGTATAGATGAGAAGACCAAGACTCAAAGAGGTAAGTGCCTTGCCCTTCTAGTAAGTGGCTGAGCCACAATTTAATGTCAAGGCTTTGGGATTTCAAAGACCCTGAATTTGCCAGTACATCAAATTGTTTCTCTTAGAATCAAAAATTAATGAAACACCCAACAGCAATTATGCCTTGTATTGTGCTATGTGGTTTTTATGAATTATCTACTTCTAACAAACAAACAAACAAGAACCTTGGAGGCTAGGTGTCACTGTTGTCATTCCCAACACTATGCTGATGCATAGTGCACATGATCCCAGCATTTGTGAGGCTGAGAGTCACAACTTTAAGGCCCATGTTCATAGCAAGACACTGTCTCAAGAAGGAAAAGGAAGGGAAAGGTAAAGAAAAGGAAAAAAAAAGAAAAGGAAAATGAAAGAAAGGACAAATATAAGAAAGGGAGGTGTAAAGCAAGATGTGCGAGATCTGAGGCTCAAGCCTGATCCTTCTGCCTGCAGAACACAGATCTTCACTATCAGTCTACACTCCCTTTTAGCTGTCCTGTAGATGAAGACGTGGGGGTAGAAGACGTGGGGGTAGAAGGCTGGGAAAGGTGAGTAGCTTAACCACAGACGACTAGTGAAAGTGCTCTGTTTAATTTTGTTCTTTCCCACAGGTGACTTCATATAGTTTGTTTTTCTAACTGACTGTCTCCCTTGCAGGCTCGTGACTGATTTCTAACCTGTCCTACTGAGCATCTCCTCCCCCTGCTGAATCATCCAATTCCTAACAAGTTTCCCGGCCAAAGTCTTCCTTATCCAGGAGCCAAACTTTGTTGTGTTCATACTCCTGGGAAGGACCTGAGCTCAGAGAACAGACCCTGCATAGCCTCCTTTTCTAACTCTACCCAACACTTAGCCCAACTGTGCTCCGAGTAGTACCAGGTAAGACGGAGGCAAATAAACAGTGTGTGTGTGTGTGTGTGTGTGTGTGTGTGTGTGTGTGTCTGCCACAGAAGCTCTAAACTGAAAAGTACAGTTTCGAGTTCTGGAAATGCCACTTACAAGTTAGATGGCTTTGGGCAAATCACTTAGCTTCTCTGATACTTGATTATCTTTTCTTTTTTTATTCATTTATTCACATGTGCATACATAGTTTAGGTCATTTCTTCCCCCTACCCCACCCCCACCCTCTGCCCCCTTCCCCCCTCGCTTCCAGGCAGAACCTGTTCTTTAATTTTGACACTTCATTTTCTTAACTACACAATAAGGATGGTGATTTTGGGTGAGGGTAATATCTGGGAATGTACATGTACTCTGTATAGCAGAGTGGCTGGCAGATAGGTGATTGATGAACTGTTAAGTAACTCTGAATGTGCTAGGGTCGGGGAGGAGAATGCAGAGGTAGAGGATAATTGTAAAAAAACTTCACTATGCAGAAGTCAGTTCACTTTCTATAAAGTGAATGCCTTTCATTAAATTTAAAAAAATCTCAGGAGAAGGGGGCTAGCTTCAGAATTGCTGGGAGTTGAAGGGCACCTCAACATTTATTGAGCCCTTATTGTGTGTCAGGTTCGATGCTGGCAAAGTGATTTACGGGAATTGTTTCACTGATCCTTAATGGGAAGCTGAGAAGTTGGAATTATCATTGTGCCCTCAAATTTTAGAGACATGAACCCTGCCCAAGGTCACCCAGGTGGTAGGTGGTGAGGGACAAAAATCAAACTCTGATTCTGTAATTCTAGGAACCTCTATAACACACTAAACATGTTGTTCCAGTAAATAGCTTTTTGGGCCCAAATACTTATGAAAGCAACACTCGGTTGCAGGAAATTTTCAAGGTACTATGTACCTGAACATGTAGTTCTGAACACTGCAAACTCTTAAAGCCACAAAGACAAATTGCCTTCAGAATACACTCTAAAACATTGGGCTTTAAAACCATGCCATAGGGTTTAAAACCATGTCATATGCTCCAAGAGGGTAGAAACTTTTCCAATCTAATTTCTGAGAGTGTCTACATAGCAGTTCCACAATAAAGGTTTCAGAAATGAAATTTCTAACTACTTCAGACATTCTGTGGGCACACTGTCTTTTCTCTCTCCAGGCTTTCAACCTTCAGTTTTCTGAATTGTGACAAGGAAGGGAAGAGTCTAACCTTTTGTTGACTACTTACGATGAGGAATAGGTAGCTATGGATTAGATACAGATACAGTGTAGATTTGTAGTGCAGATGTAATTGTTGATCTTTAGATAGCAATACAGTTAATAGATTGTGGTATATATAGATACAATTATAGATATTGACATAGTTATAGGTATAAAGATAGGTAACATGCGAAGAGACACAGATACATAGATATAGGCATCTCTGACTTTTAGTACTCCTAATACTATGCAACCAGAGCAAAAACTGAACCCTGTGGCATCTATGTTCAGGAACCTATCCCAATTTATTTTCTTTAGACCCTGGTCCAGAGGTAAAAGAACAATTTCTCTTTGTCAGACTTATTATTCAGTAAGCATTTTCACATAAGGAGAGAGTTAGTCATCAGTAGTTCATATTTCTAGTGTACTTCTCTATGTTGGGTTGGTGTTTAATGCTTTATGCAGGATATCATTCATCTGTCTGTTACCACATGTCTAGCCAGTAGGTGCCTCCCATTTTTCTGTGTTTAGAGGAAAGTAAGTAATGGCCCAATGTTATGTTGATGATGAGTGAAGGGGCTAGAATTTGAACCTGTGATATTTGATTCCTAAAGACCCTGTTCTTAGCTACCATAGTCCTCCACAGGGCACTGTGTTTGGCTCTCTCATGGTGACAGAGATTACATTAGCACTGCAAACAGATTTGTAAAATGGTACCAAAGTAATTTCTTCTTTATTTCATCACAAGGTACTAGGGCTGCCATGTTTAAATTACTACAGGCTGAGTGACTTGACAGAAATTTATTTGCTCACAGTTCAGGATGAAGATGGTTTATCCTGAGGTTTTTCTCCTTGGCTGTCTTCATCTTGCCATGGCATTCTACCTCTATGTGTTTCTGTATCCCAATCTCCTCGCATAAAGAGATCAGTCATATTGCATTAGTGAGGGCCAATCCCAATGATCTCATTTTAAACAAAATTTTGCCTTTTAAAAGACTCTATCTCCAAAACCAATCACAACCAGAAGTGCTAGAAGTTAAGACTTCAACATACATATTGGGGAAACATAACTCAGCCCATGAAAAAGCATTAGTGGATCTCATCATTACATCTCTCTCTTTTGTTTTGGTCTTTAGTCACCTTTATCAGTGTTTCTGACCAAATCCAGGGCCTTGCACATGCTATGCAAGTGCTGTACAACTGAGCTCTCCCAACCAGCCATTTTAGTCACTTGTTAAGGGCTTGTTTGCACTGCCTTTGGAGAAAACAGTGAGTTAATATTTAAGGAAGATCCTGAGGTCACAAAAATAGCAACTGAGCCTGGGGTTCTCACTCAAACTTGGCTCATAGCTATGGAGGGAGATATGCATTGGGAAAAATAGCAGAGCAGGTAAGAGTCTAGAACAGGTTCTGCTATTGTTGTTAAGCTTGTCATGTATCCTTGAGGGAAGTTCCTGTCCCCTCTGGGATGTTGACTGATGAAGAATTTTATGCTCACATGTCAACAGGGGCTGAACAGTAACAGAAATTTAAGAAGTAGGCAGGTGTTATAAAATAAGGAGTGGTGGGGACCATGTCAAATTGGAGAACATCTTAATAAAAGGACCCTAATAAGTGAGAATTCAACCCCTTCTCTCCATATCTTTGCAATTCAGCATATCATAGGAATCATACCACAGACATTCCCACAAATATGTATTTTTTGGCTTCCTCCAGTGATAGACATACACTCTTATTTGCTTTTTATCTACTCTTTGGTAACACACACACACACACACACACACACACACACACACACACACCCCAGAAAGGGAGGGAGTAAGGCTGGCCCAACTTGGTTTAAACATTATGGGAATGAATGCTCACCCTGGACCTTTTGGCAGAGGTGGGATTACCTGAAGGCAGCTTCCATTGAAACCACGGATTGGACTTGGCAGGAAGAGAGGTCTCCAGAATAAGGATAGTCTGGAGCATGTAACCTCTAAATGGTCAAATTTTGCTACAAAGGGGATGGCCACATGGTTACCATCCTGGCCTTAAATCCAAGAGGGTTGAAGGAGAAGACTCCCAAGAATGTGTGCCACCTTATATAGGAGCAACAACCCCCTCCTTAGCATTTTGTGCTTTGTGGAACCTTAGGTAGGAAGGTAAGATTCCTCATCTAAACCGATAAGCTGTGCCTTCCAGATTCCAGCAAGCTGAAACAAAACTGCAACTCCTGATGAACCACGAGTATGCATCTGTGTTGTGGAGAAAGCTCCTGATGGATGATCAACCTGTAACCATGTGTTCTCAAAGCAGGTGCTGACGTGAGAATTCTGTGTCCAGTTTCTGAGGACTGTCCACTATGCAGTGGCTGATGAGGTTCCGGGCTCTATGGGGCATCCACAAAGCCTTCCATGGCCTCTACCCTGCCCCTCAGCAGTTGCGTTGCCAAGCTTTATCTGGAGTTGAAGCCCCAAGATGGAATGACCATGACAGACCCGAGGAATTTAACTTTGCAAGCCATATACTGGACTATTGGACCCAGATGGAGAAGGTGAAATGGCATCTGTGACAGGGGTGGGAGCAGAGGGTTATTGCTATCCTTGTCTTGCTCTTAATAGGCTGAGAGGCACAGAATCAAGGACAGCATTTTCTTCCACTTAGCAGTTTAGCGGGAGAAGCTAATACTTCAGGGTTCTATTCCCAGCGTGGCTGTTTCCTCACTTTTCTGAACTTCAGTGGGTTCATCTATGAGATAGGGATAAAAATAATTTAAAAAACTCATCTAAATTATAGGTAAAGGTACTTAATACACAATCAATGCCCCATAATTGTGAGCAAGGGCAAAAATTTAAGCACAAAGGTCTCATTTTAAACTAATGGAATAGCTTAAACTCATTAGAATGGAACTAATGAACACTTTGAACAAGTTCAACTGGAATTCATCTCAGCACACTGGGGCTTGACCCTTATTTCTTTAAATAAACTTATCCCTTCCTCACTGTTCATTTTTCCTCAATCTTTGTTTTTCTTCTTCTCTTCAGATTCAATCATTTTAAATGATCTGTCTTCATCTTTATAATTTTCTTCTACCTGTTTGAATCTCCTGTGAATCCATCTAGCAGTGATATCTCAATTCAATGACTATATTTTGGCTCCATAATTTAATTTAGTACTTTTTTGAAAAAAGATTTCTATCCTTTTTTGAGATTATTATTCTGTTCATATACAGTATACATGATTTTCTTCAGCTCTTTGAGCATATTTAATACAATTGTCTAAAAATCTTTCTGTAATAATAGAAATCTATATTTCTTTCAAGTCAGCTTATGGAGATTTATTTTATTCCCTTGAATAGGCCATGTTTTCCTTTCCCTTTTTATGCTTTATAGTCTTTGGTTGAATGTTAAGCATTTGAAAAAACAGCCACTTTTCCCAGTGTTGAAGACTGACTCCAGGCAGGAGAAGACCCTCACCAAGCTGTCCAGCATGGAGGCTTAATATTATCTCTGGCCTTTCCTGGCATTTTCCTTCCATGATCCTATAGTAACTTCTCCTCTCCTCTAACTTTCCCATTTACTTGGCTGATGTTAAAAATCTTAATTTCTCTAAGTCTCACCCTTGCTTCTTTTCAGGGTCTTAGGTATTATATGGTGTACCCCTGTCCATAGTCTCTCATCCCTGGGTACATATATGTCTGTGGATTTCACACACCTGGGAACTGCTGTTGCTCAGATACCTCTAACATCATATTGAAACTACACTGATGTTCCCACATGACTTCAAAATCACACAAGACAGAAACCAGTTCCTTGGGCAGTCCCTGCACATGACAGAACATGGCAGACAAGTTCTACTCTTTTCCTTCTGTCCCAAGAGAGGAGCCAGGAATTGGGTAACATCCCCTTGACTGTAGTGCACTATACCAGGGGTTGCAGCAAACAAAAAGACTTCAAAATTCCCTTCATTTTGGGTGTGGCTCTTTCTTATTGTGGGCATTTGATTCATTGCTGCAGATCCATTTATGAGAGCTCCTACAAAGCTATTTTAGTTAGTTTTTTGATTTTGAGGGAAAACAAGGACCTGGAGCTTCCTACTCTGCTTTATTTCCATGCTGATTGTTAGAAGTACTTAATATTTAGAAAATGCCCAAATATTTAATAATTAACCAAGTCTCTTTTATTTTATTTTGTTGTGATAATAGTAATAACAATTTATTGAGCAAGTGCCACGCACTGTTAGATGAATTTTGCTTATTAAATAAGCTCTTGTATCTGCTAGGTAATATTATTGTCTTCATTTCATACACAAGAAAATTTAAGCACAGAGAGGAACCCACTGCTTATATGGATCTAAGACAGACACATGGGGAAGCTGAGTTTTAAACCTTGCCTAGAGACATGAAGGCTATTCTTGGCCATATATGCCTTGGGGGGTGCCTACAGTTGCCTAGAAGTTGGCTGGGTCCCACCTCATTTCCCAACTTCTCTTGATTCTATCACTATTATAAATAAATGAGATCTCAACCTTGAGCCATGCTCACATTGGAGTTCACATTGGGATGTGACCATGGTGGTGGACCATCCAAAGAAGTGGCTTTCCTTGGAAGCAGGAAGTGACACATGGTGTATGATCTTGACTAGGAAGGCAAGAAAGGTCCAGAACCAGCCTTCTGGTGGGTGAATAGCCAAGGAGATGAAGTAAAGTGGAGCTTCAGTGATCTGACAGACTTAACCCGCCGGGCAGCCAACGTCTTCACACAGACCTGTGGTTTGCAGCAGGGAGATAATCTGGCCTTGATTCTGCCTCGTGTGCCTGAATGGTGGCTGGTGACCATAGGCTGCCTCCGAACAGGTCAGTGACTCAAGGGGGCCCCAGTGGATCTCAAGGCTGGAAAGGAGCTAGAAAATTCTGGGCTGTTAGGTTCTTCTTCCCATTAGCTTAGCACAGACAAATCTCTGAGGCTCAAGCATTGGCTCCTATGATGAGGGACCACAGGGCAAGAGCAAGGTTCCCTCTGAGCATTGACAGTTTAGTTGGAGACCAAACACCTTTTCTTCCCTCCACCTTCTTTTTCTTCTTCTTCAAGTCTTTCTCTTCTTCACACTCCTTTCCAAATACTTCTGCTCTTTTTTCCTCTTTCCATCATTTGCTTACATCCATGCACACTAAATCACAACTCTCTCTCTCTTTCTGTCTCTCTTTCTTTCTCTCTTACCTGTGGATCACAGTGATAAGCACTGTGTTTAGGACAGGAGGGGGTGGAAACAAGGGAGATTAAACAAAAAAGTGAATGTATTATGTACATAGAGAAATGGAAGACCACTACCTCCTTTAGCGCTTTGAGGTTTCTTTCATTTTGTTTCCTGCACCTTCAGGATATGTGTGCTATGTCAGCCTCTCTACATAAAATGGTATCATGATTTGTGCATATTTCACATTAGATTTGTTAGCAAGAACCGTGTCTGCTTCCTCTGTGTCTTTCCATTTCATTAGGAGCACAAAATTACCAAAGAAGTCTGTTGCTCGGTGATTATCTCTCTTATTTAAGAATCAGTTGTTCACATTGTGACACAAATGCCAGGTAAACATGTATAAACACAGGAACATATATACATGTTCACATAATCACAACGGAGTGATATGTTATTTGTAGCCAGTTTTTGCTATAAAACCAATCAGGTATCATGTGTTGCATTTATTTGTCAGGTCTTTTCATTCTCCTTTAATTCAGCATTGTCCCGACTTTTTCTGTATGACAATGACAGTTTTGAAGAGTCTATGCCAATTGTTTTGCTGAATGAACTTCAAATTTTGCATTTATGACTCTTTATTCATAATTATAATCAAGTTAAACACTTTGTCAGGAATACTACCAGGGCAGGGTGGTCTTTCTTAGTATATCACCTCATGGTGGCTTGTCCCATCATTGGTGATAAATATTTCATCAACTGAATGAGATAGTGTTTGCTAAACTTCTTCTCATACGTAATCTGTATGAGATGAGACTGTGTGAATCCCCTACTCCACAACAGTCTTTCATATTAGGATCTGAGTATCTATTGACAATTTTTGACTGAATTGAATGCTACTATTGTGGTTTATATGGGGAACTTTCTATGTATATCATGCCTTCAGAATTCATTAGAATTCTGAAAAATTCTAATATCTAAAATAGATAACTTAAAAAGGAAGGCATCTCCCTTCCTTTTTAAGTTATCTATCTTTAATCTATATAACTTAGAATCATATGGGATTCATAGTTTCTGTTTTGTAGTCACCTCTCTCATGCCATCATGCATACTCTTACAATACTTTGTCATGCTCTTGTTCACATTCTCTCTCTCTACACATGTTTTCTAACAAATGAAATAGTTGATTAATTCAACAAGGTCATGTGAAATAAAGAATTAATAACAAATACAGAGGAAATATAGGAAAGAAAAGTCATGTTACCTGTACAGTTAACAGATGGTCCATGGGAAACCCAAGATTTGGGCTGAGTCCTCTGGGATGAGTAGAATTAATGAAGATTAGAAACAAAGAAAAAGTATTGCAGGCATAGCAAAGCTTAGAGTCTGAAATAGCCTATATGAAGAATGGTCACTTTGAAATACAGAACTGAGTTGTGTGAGAGAAAGTTGAAGAGAGTGTGCCATTTTTAATTTCAGCATGGCAAGTGTGGTGTTTTTCTGGAGAGAAAGCATGGGTGTCAGTGCAGAGGAGAATGTGCTGGGAAGAAACTCCCTGCTTTATGGACCTTTGGTAGTAGGATGATGCAGAATAGGACATCCATTGGAGGGATGAGAATCTGGTAAAGGCAGTCAAAGATTTGAACTCACTGTTGGTAATGGAATTGAAAAGAAGGTAGGTAAGCTCAAAGGACCTTGTGGCTAAATTTGGGATAATAAGACCAGAGATTCAATATGACACCAGAGGACTGATAAGGACATGAACAGTGGAAAGTTGAGAAACTAGGATGTAGCTAGTCCTGACATTGGGGACACTGTCTTTCCAACAGCTCTATTGCCAGATCCAATGTAAATTTGGGCAGAGCACAATCCACTGGCTGGATCCATCTAGAGTAGAAAAAGTTAGGGATTTCAAATTTTAACATGCATAGGAATCACTTGAAAATCTTGTTGAAATACAGACTCTGGCTTAGTAGGTTTGGCACAAGGTGTGAGATTCTGAAGCCTGGTGCTTTGGATATTGATGGTCTGTGGACCTTACTTTGAATAGCAAGAGGCTAGTGGATTTCTCTGCAGATGAGCCTGGCCTGAGCCTGTGAGTGTGTAAAAGAAACTGAAACAACCGAGTTCCTTTCTTATCCCCAGGAGTCGTCTTCATACCTGGGACTAGCCAGCTGAAAGCCAAGGACATTCTTTACCGACTACAAATGTCTGGAGCCAAGGCCATCGTGACCACGGATACCCTTGCCCCAGAGGTGGACTCTGTGGCTTCTGAGTGCCCTGCTCTGAAAGCCAAGCTCCTGGTGTCTGATCACAGCCATGAAGGGTGGCTGGACTTCCGATCACTGATTAAGTGAGTTTCTGGTCTGATAAGCCAGGGTTTCTGAATGTGGAATGGTGGGAGAAGACCACCAATCTCTAATGGTGGGAGAAAGCAGCCAGTATGAAAAGCACACCAGGTTAGATGCCAACCATGTCACTGCTTTGTTGTGTGACCCTGGGCTTGTACCTTCCCTTCCCTGGGTCTTGGTGTTTTCTTTGCAAAACGAAGAAGTTAGTCTTTCATGCCCCTCATTAAAGTGTACTCAGCCCTGGGACTGTGCAAAGGAGAAGTGCAAAGTCACAGGACAATTATATAGATAGGGAATCTAAAATCTCATTTTTATATAAAAATGCATATAAAAAGATGTTTAATGAAAGGCAAAAATGAGTTTCTAAGGTGAAATACGAAACTTCAAAACAAATTGAATGCCAGTTGTAGTTGGATGGCAGTTTTCAGACTAAGGACTTTGATTCTCCCAGGGGCTTGGTGTCTTTAGGGACACCTTTTAGATGAAGTTAGGGAAGAGGTGAAGGTAAGGAAGACTTCTTCTCCCTCTCAAACCCCAAGTCTGTGAGCATTAAGGCATAGCTCACTTCATACACAAAAATCATGCTGGGTTTGTGTTATTGCAGTAATACCTCAGCTTCTAAAGCCCCAAAAGGGAATATTATAGGAAAGTTCATCTTATGCTAAAATCAGAGAATTAAAAGAAAACAACTTAGAAGCAAGGACCCTTGGGAAATCACTCAAATTTCTCAAATTACCCAGTAAGTGTGGTACCATTTCTCAGCAAGACCAGCAGAACCAATTTTCTTCCATTGTTGAGATTATTTGTAGTTTTCTTTATATACCTGGAAAGCTTGAATTTATAATCAAAGTAAGGTCCAAGAGCCTCACAGCCCAAGAGAAACTCCTGAGAATGAAAGCATACCAAAGGAATGACAGATTGCCCCTGCCAGCTCAAGTCCAAGAACACTGATTCTATCTATCTATTTATCTATCTATCTATCTATCTATCTATCTCTCTTCTATGTATTTTTCTATCTAAATATAATTCCTTCTTTTTCCCCTCTTCTCTCTCTCTCTCTCTCTCTCTCTCTCTCTCTCTCTCTCTCTCTCTCTCACACACACACACACACACACACACACACACACACACACTCACACACATTTTCTCTTCCCCATTCTTCAACACCAAGGTTATGGAGTTGAATTCCTACAAATCTAGTTTGTGTAAAAAGCAAGCTTAGTATTGTGGTTCAAAACACAAACTGTCTGGGTTTGAATCTTGGCTCTGCCACTTGTTTGTTCTGTGACTTCAAGCAAGTCACCTAACTTCTCTGAGCCCCAGATTCCTTAACTGCAAAAATGGGCAAGATTAGAGTATGCTTACCCTCTGGGGTTACTCTGAGGATTGGAGGATTTTCTATTTCTAAATCAGTTAGAACATTGCCTGGAACATAGCAAGTGCTATTTAAGCAGTTTTTCTTCCTGCTGTACTGTGGTTTGATCATGGGGCTTCACCCTTGTAAGGTAGGCACCCTACCACTTGAGTCATACCTCCAGCCTTTGGCTCTGGTTATTTTGAAGATAGGGTCTCACTTTTTTGCCCTGGCCAGCCTGGACCTTGATCCTCCTATTTTAAGCTTCCTACTGTTGCTAGAATGACAGGTGCACATCACCATGCCCAGCCCACGCCCAGCTTTTTTTTTCTGTTGAGATAGGGTCTCATTAAACTTGCCCAGGCTGGCCCACAACTGTGTTCCTCCTGATCTCAGCCTCCCACATAGCTGGGATGATAGGCATGCATCACTGTACCCAGCTATTGGTTGAAATGGGTGTTTCACAAATGTTTTGCCTGGGCTGGCCTGGAACCATGATTCTCTCAATCTCAGTGTCCCAAGTAGCTAGGATTATAGGCTTGAGCCACTGGCATGTGGCTATTTAAGTGTACTTTATTTTTAAAACCCATTATATTTTTCCTGTTTTTAAAGAAAGACATGCCAGTCCACTTGTGTGAATCACCAACACAGTCAGCTTAATGCCTGACACTGGCAGAGCCAGTCCTTCCTCCAGCCTTGTTGAACCCAAGTTTCCTGACCCCCTACTTCATGTTTCTTCTTTTACTTCCCCTGAGGATAGAAAAACAGTGAGCATGACTTTTCCCATGTTGTCTTCAATCTTCACAGATCAGCATCCCCAGACCACACTTGTATTAAGTCAAAGACGGAGGATCCCATGGTCATCTTCTTCACCAGTGGGACCACAGGTTATCCCAAGATGGCAAAACACAGCCATGGACTTGCCTTACGGTCCTGCCTTCTTTCATGGTAGGAAGAGGTCCCAGCGTAGAGGCTGGGTTCAGGTCTGGTATGAGGTGTGTGTGTGTGGGTGGTGGGGGAAATGGAACTCTAAATGGAAGTGCCCTCCATCTTGTTTCCATCTTCTGCTCTTTGGTTCCACCTCAGAGGGTCTGAGAAGTGAAGGTTAGGAATCCTGCATGTTTGCTGATAGACACCTCAGGAAAACAAAGGAGGTTCCTTTGGATGGTACCTGAGTACATTCACAAGAGGGCAGCAGACATTCTATAAGCCACATAAATGACAAGTCATTGACCCTGACAGTAGCTCTCTAGTTTTGTGTGGAAAGGAAGAATATTCTAGCAGTGTAGCCTGAAGTGAGAGGGCCCATATCATTTATTATGGGAAATCAGATTTAGAGTTCCTAATCATGAAATGCTAGGGAAGAAAATACCTGGAACTGAGTCACATCAAATCACTTCCCCTGACCTTGATCAAAGAATACATGGAGGCTAAAACTCAGTCTTGGGTTAATCATTTAATCAACCCTAAACCAATATTCCCCCTACACCCTGACCTCAAATTAGTGATATTCAGAACAGACCAAGTTTTTCTATCTGATTTCTAAGTTATTAACCCTAAAAGGGGCCAAAGGTGTGTGTTCTTGTGGGCAGGGTTATGACTGCTAATAATAACACCTGAGTAGCAACAGCTCTGGAAGTGAGAAAAGGGCAGGAATCCATGGTTCTGCTAGGATATTCCAAAACTCACATATTGTAAATGATTGGATAGTGGTGACACTCACTGAAATACAGGGGACCCTGGAGGACATTTGGTTCAAGAGAAATTAGGATCTCTGGGCTTGGGGTGCCTGATAGTCAACCTGGAAGTAGTGTTTAGTGCATAGTTGTTTCTGCAGCTCATAAGAGTGGAAACCTAGCTAGTAATTTCCCACAGGTGTGCCACAATTCTGAGATGGAATGAAAATGAGTAGGTGGCTTACCAATCCTAAGTCAAAGCTAAAGGGGGTGCTGTCCTTTCTCAAAGAGCTGTGTACACCACGGTTGCTCAGGAGCAAAAGGAGACACAGACTTGAGAAACCTTCCCTACTCCATCTCCTAGTTATTGCCCTTTGGTCCTTGCCAAGATGGAATATTAATCATGTCTCTTCATTCTCTCTTTCTCTCTGATTCTAACACTCCCATTGCAAATGACAGAAATCCCAGTCCAAACCCGCATAAATCAAAAAACAAATGAAGAAATTGATTGTATGGTGAAAAAGAGCAGTGTGGGATTTGGCTTTAGATGTCACTGTCTAGCCTTCACATTGAGTTTTTAACACTCCATCTCTCAGCTGTATCGATACTGCTCTGAGAATGGCTCATTCCTTATTGTTCAAAATGTCTGCCACCATCACCTGGGACTATATCAGTAACATCTTCACATCCAGAGAAACAGTCACAGTCTCTGTCCCAGCTTTCCTAGCAAAGGCCTTAAGGGTTATTAGCACCAAATGAGTGCCAATCGCATGTGATCAAGAAAAAGGATGTGGCAGTACATCTTTAGGACCCGGGGTAGGGCATTCTACACCCACACATCACATGAACTGTGAGTGAGGGGTGATTCTTGAGCTGAAAAGCAGTTTCCCCATTCCTTGCCCACATCCATCCATGGTGGCACAGCTGAAGACACTGTATCTTGGAGTTAGCAGGAAATTACTGCAGCTGAAGACATCCGATGTCCTCTGGTGCCTGTCAGACCCAGGATGGATTCTGGCTATCGTGGGGTGCCTGCTTGAACCATGGGCATCAGGGTGTACACTGTTCGTCCACCGCCTGACACAGTTTGACCCCAAGGTCATTGTACAGGTAAGAAGACCAACCTCACAGCATCAAAATCTCCCAGAAGAAAACCCACGTTCACAGGCCCTGATGAACAATATTTTATTTAGCCAAGAAGTCCATGTGCATAACATAGCCCTGGTGTACAATCCCTACAGTGTAGAATCCTGAATGAGAGTTATAGTATCAGAGTCACATAAAAATGTAACTTGGAAGAAAATTCACATTTCTGGGCTGTTCCCCAGATCTGCAGTTCAGACTTTGAGATGAGAGACACAGAATATGCATTGTGAGAAATTAAAGCAGCCACAACAAGTCCGAGGCTCTAAGATCCTGGAGCCAGATAGCTAGTGTGTGTGTGTGTGTGTGTGTGTGTGTGTGTGTGTGTGAGAGATTAGTCATTATAAGGCATTTAAAACAAGCTCTGGGAATAGGAGAGATCTAACATATTATCCCAGTTTTGAAATGAATTAGAAAGTTAATTACCAGCCACAACCTCAATTTCCTTAGCTGTAAAATGGGATTTTTAATCGTTACAGCTACATAAAATCATTAGAAATATTAATGAGCTTAGGTAGATAAAGAGTAAAATGGGCTTGGCCCTGAACCCAACATACAGGAAACACTCCATAAGTGACAGCCACTGATGTGAGTATGAGTACCTCGTGGTGGCAATTGAAGCTACACCTGCTTCAATGAGCTCCCCCAAGATGATCCCTTCATGTGAAAATTCTCTTTATGCTTCACTCACCCTTTATTCCACCTCAGGGCCAGACCTGCCCCTCTACCTTTCAAAGTCACATGTTCTCTCACTCCTGCTGTGGATCCTGTTCTTGTCCCTGTCTATTAATTTTCATCTAGTTGCCCTTTTCTCCTGTGTTTTCAATTTCACACTTTCCAGTAGCTGTACAACCTCAGTCCACAAGCATATTCCATGTCTCTCCCCTCTTCTCTCCACTCAGCTACACATTGAATCAGCCCCATAATTCCTGTTAATACCAACTTCTCCTTAGGACACTCTCCGCTTGCTACAGTCACCTCTGCACCACTCATCTTGCCCCTGGGCACTGAAGTCAGCTAAGCTTTTGCCCTATGTTCCTGTTCCTCTCTTTGCTAAGCAACACCCCTTTATTTCCATTTCTTCAGCAAGCATGGCAGAACAGGTGACCCCTAGTCTCTGTTTTTCACTCTCCAGCCTCAGCCTCCCAGGTGTCCCTGCTGGTTGATCAATTCCATCAGATCACCCTTCCAGCACTTCTAGCTGCACTTTTTGATTCTCACTCCCTGCCTCCAACCAGTGTCTCCAATGACCTCTCCATCCTTATCTAGGACCTCATATCTCACATCTATGGCTTACCACTGCACCAACAGCCCTGACCACAGAAGGCCTAGTCCTTCCTGTAGTATCAGGAACATCCTCAATGTCTTCATGTATTTTAAGTTTGGATATTTTTAAAAGTATTCCTATCTACAAATTTACCAATGCATCAATATTTGAGTTTATTTTATTGTCCACTTACTACTTTTGTGAATTTTTAGTAAGAAAAATTTAAATATTTTTAGTCCCTATTATTGAAGGTTGGATTAAAAATAATTTATGCTTCAAATTCACAAAACAGAGTACTTTCTCCATTTCCTTTCTGTCCATCCCATTCAACTCAGCCCTTCTTGCCAGATCTGTTGAAAGACACTCCGGATCCCTGCTCTGTCCCCCAACTAAAACCTGCAAATCAAGAAAATGAGTCTTAGATTACAAAAAATCAGCACCCATATGTGGTGAGCATCTACTAAGTACCCAGCCCTGGTACAGCCCTGATACAGTGACCTCTAACCTTGTCCTTCTAAATAGCAGCCCCATGGCTGGCAGCAACAGAAACCCACTTAGAAGCACCTAATGGAAAAGGGAATACAGGGGCTCCTTGAGTAATAATGAGATTATGTCTTGATAAGCTCATCATAAATTGAAAATATCTTAAGTTAAAGCACTGAAAGTGCAGTTAATACACACTGAACCTACTGACATCCCACCTTAGCAACTGTGCAGCATCTCTGGTTTCCACTTTTGGTCACCTGGTGACAATGAACCCTGACTCACTTCCATTACCAGCAGTGCAAGAGAAAACCTTATACATCTGGCTTGTTGAAGAAATGATCAAAATATAAAATTCATCTGCATTTTCTACTTAATTCATATTGCTTTCTCGCCATCAAGAAGTTGAAGAATCATTAGATCAAACCACCATAAGTCAGGGAGTGTCTGTGTATGGGAGAGGGACACTGGGACATCTCATGATAATGGGGGAAAAGACAGCAGCTGAGCTTGGTAAGAGTCTGCAGTAGCAATCAGAAAACCCTCAGGAATCTGGAAAGCTTTTGAGTGTGTCCACTTTTCTCCATGTGTATCCTCCCACCCTTCTTTCTACTTGGAGACCTACTTTTGTGTCTTCCCATGCATAAAACTGAGGAGAGTAACTATAGAATCCCTTGGTTGATTACCCCTTTTTAGATAAGCAGGCATGGTGGATTAGATGCTGAGTGTCCCAACCTAAGGCAATTATTTGTCATCTGGTCAGAGATATATCCCCATAGGCCTGGGATCAGGTTAAGACCCATGCCTAGCTGGTGCGAGGAGGGTGTGGGGATATGGAATTGCACCTTTGGGGTGGGAGTAGTGGGGGGTGAGGGTCAAACTAGAATTTATAATGAAGGTATGAATGTGAGGTAGAAGCCAGAGATTCAAACAAAGTTGATTAGGTCTAGGATGAAAAGCACTGGGAGTGGAGCCAGATTGTACCTCATGAACCATAGCTCAGTGTAGTTCTGCATGGAATATGTGGATAATCCCATTTTATATAAAGAAACAGAAATCTATATCTATATCTATATCTATCTATCTATATCTTTATATATATAAAGAAAGAGAAATTAGGCAACACAGTGTAGATTCAGATCAGGTGGACTCAAGACCATATTCTGTCCCCTCTGCTGTTTCCTCAATTTCTTAGCCTTCCTCCATTCCCAACCTGACTCTGATGATTCCCATCTCTGCTGAATAATGGTATATGCCAGACATTTTAGACCACAAGAAATCTGGCTCCAACTAACCTGAATCTTCCTGAACTTAATTCTTACTCCTATCTTCTGTGTCTAAGTCAGTGAAATCATTCCATTTGGTTGAAATGCTTCTTTACCTCCTGAGAGTCCTGAGTCATCAGTCTTCATGAGCCCCCTCACCCACGTCTCTGCCTGTAGACTTTAAGTTCATTTGCTAATGTGCTTACTAAATGCCACCTCCTCCATAAGAACCTTGGATCCCCAAAACACGAGAACTGTTCCCTTTATTAATTTCTTACAGAATTTTTTCAAATCTACGATGTTTACCAACATCTGCCTTATCATTTAGCACTGTTTTATTTTCCCATGTTCTTGTCTATTCTCTGGATGACCTGGAACACGATCTCATTCTTTTTGCATTTCCCCAAAATGTTGACATGCACCATGTATGAAATTCATGCCCAATATACATAGATTGAAAACAATTAACAAAGGAGTAACCAGGCTCACCTAGAGGGGAGATCAGAAATAAAATAGAAATAATTGATAATATTTTCAACTTCAAGTATAAAAATAAAATTCTTTCCTCATTTTCCAGGTGTTATTCAAATACCCCATCACTCAAACCATTGCTGCACCAGGTGTATATCGAATGATTCTGCAGCAGAAATTCACCAAGTATGTAGAATTGCCTGTAACAGTAATTGGTGGAGTTTTAAAGGAATCTGGTGTGCTATGGTTTGTTTTTCTTTGGTCTTTGCAAGCTCTGTGTGTGTGCGTGTGTGTGTGTGTGTGTGTGTGTGTTGGTGTTGATAACTAGCAGTCTAATTAGCTAAATCAAAGCATGACCCAGAGACCTGGGAGAGACACTCAGTGAGCTTTGCATCCTATAGGATTACGTCAATGTTTTCCTTATGAAATAACAACATGCAGAAAAATGGAAACTTACAGATTATTGAACTCTTTAAAGGAAAATACTTGTGCAACATCCTACCCAAGTTACAAAGATGGAGCATGGCCAGGCCCTTAGACACTTCTGCCTGCCTTCTCATCTCCTCTAAGGAAATCACTGAATCTGTTTCCTTAGTTTCTATCCTAAGGAAATACCAGTGAAAAAAGACTACTTTATATGCCTTTGAACTTTATGTTCAAAGGCAGTATATATATATATATATATATATATATATATATATATATATATATACAGTATTTTGGGGCATATGGCTTTTTATCTGAACATTATGTGTCTAAGATACATCCATGCTATTGCATATTACCATAGTTTATTTAATTGGTGTCTAATATCCCATTTTAAAAATACCCCAATTTTTATCCATACTACCATTAATGAAGATATGTGTAGTTTTAATTTGAGAGTTCTTGGTGGTTAATGATGTACTGAACTGTCTTACTTGTACTCTGGCACATACAATGATGCATTTCTGAAGAATTTTCTAGGGGAAGAATGTGTAAGTCACAATAACACTACAGATTCTCACACTGTTTCTTAGAGTATTAAACCAATTTATGCTTCCCCTAGCAAGATTGGATAATTTCCACTGTCCCGCATTCTTTCTAATAATTGTTATTGTCAAGGTTAATCTGATGGATGGATAGCATTATCTGATGTTTTACTTTTGCATTTCTCTGTGTTTGAGAGTTAATTTTTAGGGAACTTGAAGTCTGGTATTTGAAAGTTATGGTCATTTATGTATTCTTTAGAGATGCTGCAATTGAAATTGTTAATTCAAATTGTAAGTGTTAAAATATCAATCTGTTTTGTGACGACCCTTATGCTGCAAACTGAATTACAACTTGGTTTAATTCATGAAGTCTCAGTCTGGCTAGCTTCTGTTCCCATCTGTATTTCAAAGCTCATAGAATAGCTGACTTTTCCAACACTCCTTGTGTGATTTTGTTTGTCTAAACCCAGTAATATGTCATCAGGGCAAAATTGAGATTCCACATGAGACTCTGCCCACCTTATATACGTCAGGGAGGTTCTAGAAGAATGATAAAAATGATCTCAGTGAAGAGCCCTCCTGTTCATCTCTCTGGAATGTATTTGCACCCAAAGAATGAATGAGGACGAACAGTGCTCCTGAAGTGGCTTCCTCCCCACCACACTCCACGAGCTGGCTATTCTCTAGTTCAAGTCTGCTGGGTTAGACCTTAGTCACTCCCCACCCCATTTTCTTCAGGGAATTCCATCATTATTTTGTGATTGTTTTTCTGAACTTCATGTGGAATATGGAATATATCTCATGATGTACCTAATAAACCCCTACAAAGGCTTGCATGAGGCTTTTCTTCTCTCTCTCAAATTCCTTTACTCTGAATTTCTGTTCTTTCTGCAATTCTGTTTCCCAGCACCCTCTGCCTTTGCCTACATTTGGTCCAACCTGCACTAAAGTCCCTAACAAATTATTTCCAACTCCAACTTTCATTCTGTGCTCAGAAATACAAAAGTCCTTCACTAGGCATAAAACTAACTCTCTTAAAAGAAAGTATAGTATCATCTCCCTAGCATGTCTCTTGGGGTCTTGTCCTGCACCCCTTTATTGTTTATAAAAATATCCCTCTTAGCCACATAGAAGTCTTCCCTAAGATTAGTTCTGATGAATCTAATTTCCTCTCTCTTGTTCCATCAACATTCAAATTTACCAAACTTTCCTATGTAACCCAACAGCCTCTCCACCACTCACCCATGTCCTGCCAGAAGAGGTAGCAGCAACACACTCACTTTGCCTTGGCCATTAGTAAAATGACCAGAAGGTGAATAAGAAAGAGAGAAGGATGAATGATCCAGATGACAAACCTATGACACCTTAACGCACTGGGTTTGGGGAAGTTAATCCAAAGTCTGACACCTGTACTTCCCCTAAAGTCTCAGGTTCCCAACCCTGGAGCACTGCTCTACTGGTGGAGAGGCCCTCCTGCCTGAGGAGCTTGAGCAGTGGAGAAAACACACGGGCCTTCTGCTTCATGAGGTCTATGGACAGTCAGAAACGGTAGGTAGCAGCCTCCTTCTGGACCATTCAGATGTGGTCAGCTACTATGTGCAGCAGATGGGGCAAGTCTTGCTATGAGTGTGTGTGTACACTGTTTGTGCAGCATTGCTCCAAGCCAACAGAAGGCAACAGGATTTGAGGCTAATTTGTCCCCAATTCAACTTGCAGAATCACATTTTACAAGTCATGAAGAGACCAATGAACTGATAGTGGTTGGACAAAATCCAAACATAGGTCTAAGGATATAGTACCACAGTGCCCATTATGGTCAGCTCAGGAATGCTCAGAGAGATGGTGGGAAAAGGAGCCTTCTGCAGCAACATGGAAATGGTGGGCAGAAGTTCTTGCCAAGTCTACCATCCCTTTTTATGGCAGTGACACAAAAACGCTTGCAGTGCTGGCATACTAGCAAGAGATACTAACAAGGGTTGCTGAAGTAAAAGGGATTTTCTGTGCAAACCAAACACACATACACACACAAATGTGCACACATGGGCATACACACACACACACACACACACACACACACATGCACTCAAACTCTCAGTGGGAACCCAGAGTATCAGTGAGCCACCAGGTGGGCAGAGCATTTAGAATATCATGCCTGTCTTGAACCTCAATAACTTCATCAATGACAGAATAAGTAGGAACCTCTCTTCTAACAATACTTGATCCACTTCCAATGCTGGCCAGAGCAAGTTTCCCCAACCTTCACAGGACCACTGTAGCTAGCAGAGGGATGTCTTCCATCCTAGACCCTGTTACAAATGGACTATTTTAGTTCTAAGTCACAAACTTGTCTGACTTTTTTACGAACTGTTAAGACTCTGGACCTGTTTTTGAATGACTCAGTTTCAATTTGGACAAGGAAGAGGGTTCATGAGAAGAGCAGATCTGACCCATGACGCCTGCCTCTCTGCAAGGTGATTTCTTTGTGAAAGTGCTTTCACACCTGTTCACTCATCTCTGCAACATTTTTCACACACTTGCACTGTGAGTGCTGGCATGGCAGCAATGAAAGAGCCTCCTTTCCTATAAGCTCAGACCTGGGTCCAAGTGTCAGCTGTATCTATTGCAGACTTCAAAATCACAGGCTATTCTTTAACCTTTAGCAACAGAATTCCCAACTCTAAAATGGAAATGATATTGCCAGTCTTGCTGGACTGTGATAGGTAGATGATGTATGTCAATCTCTGACCACAATGTCCAACCTACAGCACATGCTTACATTGTAGTTTCTGTGGTCGTCAGTGTTTTATTGAAGGTATTGTGGTAGATGCTCTGAGCACAGAAGCATCTATTCCTGGAGGCTTGATATCTACTGAGGGACACAGTCAATCAAAAGTTATTATGATGCTCTTCTGGTTACAATAGTACACAATGGAGAAAATTCTGCAAGAGAATATCCAACTGACTTTTCTTGGGGCCTGAGCAATGGCTATTACTAGTCATTCACAAAACATTTGGGGGTGTGTGTCATGTGATGCAAAGACATCCCCTACACTAGGAAGCACTGTGGAAAGTCAATGTTGTAATCATCTTCTTTAATGGGGGAGGAGATCAGGAGGTATTAATTGGCACATGGGTAGTGAGTGGTGATTTCTCTGACTGTAAAACACTCAGCTGTAGAAAGAATGATAATGAGAGAAGTGTAAAGAGGATTTGGGTTCATTGGGAAGACAACTAAGGCTGGTAGGACTAGCAGCGGGAACAGTGTGAACAATCTCAACAGTCCAAACACAACCCTGAGAAGGAACTGAGGAAAGATTCCTGTCATCAGTCAACAGTCAGGTATAAATGTTTGTCTAGTGGTCTCATGGCCTTCTCCTGGCAAACTGATACATGCCTGGCATAATAACACTCCCCTTTCCACATGACATGCCATAGCCTTGGGCTTAGCTTCTTTGCTTCCCTCTTTGCCTCCATCACTAGACACTGTGAACCTCACCCAGCATAACTGGGTATGACAAATGTCCGCTTAATAGAGCTGGGTCAATGCCCTGAGACGAGAATCCCAGCCTTCCAATTTCCTCTCTAGGGCTCTTTGTGCCGCATCCAATGTGATCTGCTGGTGGAGGATGTGCTTAGTTCCTGCTGCTTTGTGATTTACCCAGACCCTTTGGCCAACCCCAATCCTCTCTCCTTTGTGAACAGGGCATAACCTGTGGAGTCCTCCGGGATATGAAGCTCAAGCTGGGTTCCATGGGGAAGACTATCTCTCCCTTTGACATCCAGGTTTGTTTCTGAGGGCACTGGCAAAGTGTAGTTAGGGTTCAGATGGGCTTGAACCACTGTGTGACACCAGGTGGCTGGACAGCGATCCTTCTGTACCAATGTTGCCTTTATTGCTGTTTTTCTCCGATTTCCTTTGGCGCTTCAAATGAGAACCACATTATTTTGGGCACTAATGTAGCTCCCCTGTCAGCCAGAGATATAACACCCAGTGCATGGGAATGAAGACTATCTGGAGGTGGCATAAGTAATTTTGTGTTCCAATTGTATTTGTTCCTTTTGTTCTACTTGATCAATATTCTCCAGTTTGAAGACACATTGGTGATGTCTACATACCCATGAAACAAGTAGATATTTGACTTGGGCTTCTCATTTGCTGATTTCAAAGAAATGTAATAGTTTCATTCAATTTTCTGACACAGTCACTCTATCACTCTCATCACTTGTCTCCACTGGTGCCCCATGGATAAGCCATCCAGTGTTCAGGTGGACAGAAGTGTTGGGGGAGCTCTGCACAGAAGGTTTCACAGGCTTCTTTTCCAGATCATTGATGACAAAGGTCACATCCTTCCTCCCAACACTGAGGGATACATTGGCATCAGGATCAAGCCCTCCAGACCCACAGGTCTCTTCATGTACTATGAGGTAATGGTTTCCCATTTGTTCCTGTCCTTGCTCCAAAAGTCCTTGCAGTGAGCATGCTGAGACTTCCTCAGGTAATCTTCTGTTCATCCATGCTCAATGAAGCCTGTTTTAATTATAACCAAATTTCCCAGTGCCTTGCCACATCCCTTCCTATCCTGGGACTTAAGTGCTGACTGGGTAGACAGAAGGTTGGCTTCAGAACCACCAGAATGGGTTTCCATTATCTCCCATAGTTAGCCAAACACAGGTTTGGCTGAGTTCAAAAAACACCATCCCTCTTATCAAAATCAGGGTGTGGCAAGTCATTCATTCTGGCTGAGTCTCCAGGAAGCTCTGTTATCTGTTTCTTGCAGAGGGGAAAAACTAAAGACTAGAAATGTTAAGTGTTTTCTTTGTGCCAATTAATGGCAGGTGTAGGATCCAAACCCCATTCTTTCAGTGTCAAATCCTAAATAAGAAATCCAGGGACTGTAGAAAACTGGGTTAGATATAAGAAGAGCTGCTAAAACTCTTGTCAAACAAACCCTAGCCAATCCAGGTTGATCGTGGCCACAAAGGGAAATTAGATTTCAAAATTGGTACCTTAAGTGACCAGATAATGAAAGTGATCCAGACTCCATCTCTTTTCCCAAAGAAATTTAATTGCAATTCTCCTGGTGTCCCGACTATCCTCACACTATGGACTCAAGGGGGTGCTGTCTGCACATGTTTTTTATAAATCCCTAGATTCAACTATGTACACAGCTTTGAGAAACACATACACACATAACGCACACACACAACACACACACACACACACACACACACACACACACACACACACGGCACAGCACAGGTAAACCAGAGGAAATCTGAATGAGATTGGTGGATTGATCAACATTGATATGCTGATATAACATCAAACAATAGTTTTGCAAAATGTTACCACTGGGGAAGCTAGGGTAAGACTTTAAGAGATTTCTCTGTACAATTTGTTAAAACTGTATGCAAATGTAAAATAATCATAAAATGAAGAGCTTAGTTTTAAAAATACCAACCTCATAGGCTTCTGTGAGGATCAAGTGAGATAGCACATGGGGAAGAAAATTCATTGTGTGAATGTTTATTACCCCTCACCTCTGTCCATGCACCACGTGAATGATGAGTTTATAGCTGTGTATGAAACAAACAGGGCTCACCTTATAGTGAGAGCTATATTTTTGTGGAGTTTCAGACAAAAGTGAGTTGTTAATTTTTAAAACTGTCATTTAAAGTTAGCATTTTGATATGCATTTATTGAGCAGTGGCACACATTGAGTACTTTCATGGAAAGACAGGAGTCTCCAAGGATTATAAAACTTGCCCAGGTCCCCAGTGGAGTCAGGCAGAATGCAGACGGAGATATTACACTGCACTTGTATCTCCTCATCTCTATACTCACTGCCTTCAAAATGGGGTCTGTCCTCTTTGCAGAATAACCCTGAGAAGACTGCTGAAGTGGAATGTGGAGACTTTTACAACACTGGAGACAGAGCGACCATGGATGAAGAGGGCTACATCTGGTTCCTGGGGAGGGGAGATGACGTCATCAATGCCTCTGGGTAGGTGGGGCTGACCCTGGTCTGGATCCTGACACTGACATTTTCCTGCCTGACATTCCTCCATGGCTTGGTGATGGGCCCTTAACCTCTCTCTAAACAGTCACATGCATGCACTGCTCCCTGGTACCAGTGGACATCTCATAACCTGTGTCCAGAAGAACCAATCAAGATGAGCTTCAAGAGGGTCTAGAAAAGGAAGAAGATATTACACAATTAAAGGAGGGATAGGACTGGGAAGTAAGACCTTGTGTTGGTCCCCATGTGTAGTGTAAGATTATGTTATGTTTCTGTCACTTTCATGTGGCACACAATATCACAGGAGAACAATAATAATATATTGCCTTTCTGGAGCACTGACTAAGTGAAATCACTCTCTGGAAGGCTTTCTACATTCACTTCTCAATGCAGGCAGTGAGATGAGCTTATTATTTTACCCCACTTCAGTGGTGTAGAAACTAAGTCATTGACCGCTGAGAAAATTTCTATTAAGTCTGAAAAATAATACAGAATGAAATTCAGATATGAGCTGAGGTAGTGTGCATCTCATTCCTAACCACTATGTGATATTTACAATACACTTTACAAAATTTCTCTTCCATATTTCAGAGAAATTGAGGTTAATTAATTTCAGTTTTTAATGGCTACAGCACAGTTGAGCAATTTTATGGGGTAAAATGTGATGATTTCATATATATATATATACATCCTGTAATTATCAAATCAGAATAAGTAGCCTATCCTTCTCCTCCTACATTTCTCTCTTCTTTGTGTTGACAGAATTAAGAAAAGTTATCTAGCTCTTTTGGAATATGTAATGCATCATTATTAACTATAGTGGTCCTTCTCTGAAATGGATCACAATGTATTCCTGCTATTGCCATGGGAATTTTTGAAATAATGCTGACTGTATGTGCACTGGAAATTTGCTGAGAGCAGCTTTTGAGTGCTCTTCCTATATACTAGTATGTTGTGTAACCAACCCCTCTATGCTCTGTGAGTAATGGATAGATTAACTTGTTTTCCTATAGTGATCTTTTCACTGTGGATGTGCAGAACATAACGTTGTATAATCTAAATATATGCTAAAAGCCAAAACATAAGATAAAATACAGCTTGCAGAGCAATGGGGGCTAAGGTGGAGAATTTGCCAGAATGTTTAAGACAAATTTTGAGGCTCCCAGAGCCTGGCACTGGAGGAAGACGTTTTGCCAACTACTCAAAAGTCTGTGAGGACAAAGCATCCTCCTCCTCACTTCAAGCTGTAACAGCCCGAGGAACAGCTGAAGCTGTAGTTTCAGCATAGAATGTCCAAGTCTTGAAAATTTGGGCCCCAAACATAGGCAGGTGTCGAGTCTGACTCCTTTTGACAATCACCCTATGCATCAAGGGGAAGTGTGGCTCTCCAAAGTACAAGATTTAAGAAATGGTTTGCCGGAAACCTGACATCTACCCCAGAACCATTGATCTTCCAGGTACCGCATTGGGCCAGTAGAGGTGGAGAACGCCTTGGCAGAGCACCCTGCTGTGGCAGAGTCTGCGGTGGTGAGCAGCCCAGACTCCACGCGAGGGGAGGTGAGAAGTCCAGTGTTTGTGTGCTTGTGTTGGAAATTTCCAGGGTGTCACCCCAGCCTGGGGTCCAGGTTGTAGGGAAGACTGCTGGCATGCACATGCAGTTACACAGTATGCCCACCAGGGGCGCTGTGCACACTTGGTAAGTGACAAATCCTTTGACTCTCACAAACCCATTAACTTTCACCCTAACTCTCCTTACAGTTAAGGGGAGGGAAGAAAAGGAGGTTAAGTAACTTTCCACATCATGGAGCTAATGAAGTGTGGATCCAAATAGGACTGTTAAAAATGCAGCTGCAGAGCTTGCATCCCTTGATTCAATAAGAGTCCACTGAACAATTCCATGTGCATGGACTTGTGTAAAAAATGAGGATATAATTAATAATGCAGAAATAAATTATTGCGAGGTCTTCTATGCCAACCATGTTCCAGGCATGGAACAATGTGCAAAACAAATGGTGAACATGATGCTGACAATGATGGTGAAGGGAGGAATAACACAGGAGAGCAGGCCTGGTGTTTGATGTCGATTACCTCAAGGAATATTTACAGAAACCACATGAACAAGGAGCCTTTATCATCCCTATCTCACAGAGAATGAAACTGAGGCTAAGAGAGGCCAGGTCATTTTCCAAGGCATGGACTGGGAATGGGAGGACAAGGTTTGAAACCTGGTCACCCATTTCCAAAGCCCATGCTCTGAACCACTTAATCTCAAGCATCAACCCACCTTTCTATCCTCTTGCTAAACATCCCTTCCTAAGCATTGTGCCTTGTAGGCTGGCACTCACCTGAAACTCTGTTCTGCTTCCACAGGTGGTGAAAGCATTTATTGTCCTGAATTCTCAGTTCTTGTCCCATGACAAGGAGCAGCTCATCAAGGAGCTGCAGCAGCATGTGAAGTCAGTGACAGCACCATACAAGTACCCAAGGAAGGTGAGCAAGGCATAAGGATGGGTCAGGTTCTTAAGCAGTTCCCAGTGCTCAGCTGTTCCACATCTCACAAGGAGGCCATAGAGAGGAAGCTTAACAGTCAACATGTTTTTCCTCTGTCAAAGAAGAAATTTAGCTTAGGAATGGGAGGGGGCCATTCATATAGGAATGCCTATTCTGTGCCAGAAACCCAAAAAGAACGCACTGCTGGCATATTAACCTAAAGAAAAAAATCTGACTAGTGGCCCAAGATAATTTTAAAAGTTATTTATTATTCTGCAAAAGTTTAAAAGAAATCCAAACTCTTACCTTTCAAACATGATTCATAAGAAATACATTCTTCTTTGTAGCCCAAATCACACATAAATACAGATAACAAAACACATGTTATTTATGTTTAAGAAATACAATATATTTTGATCTGTGTATTTTACTTCATTCGTTTTAAAGGCTGTGTACAAGCTAAAATTGTCCAACAATAGAGAAATGACTGAATTATTTACACAATGAATAGTGTCCTCTAGTTTAATCTGTTGGTACATATTTTCTTTGGTTTTGTTCAAATTTTTGACTCAGTGTCTGGCTAGGTATCTTAGGCTGGGCTGGAGCTCACCATTTGGCCCAGGTTCGCCTCAAACTCATGTCCTCCTGTGTCAGCCTCCTGAGGTCTGGGATCACAGCCTGTGCCACCACTCCCAGCTCCAGATTTATTATATATGACATAAAACTCTTATATCCATATATTAGAAAAAAAGCCAGGTACGAAAGAATATGCATACTAAGAGACACATATCAAATTTAATACTTCTTTCTCTATACTACTTTATGACACTGTCTGAAAGTTTACATTCAAATGTACAAATTATCAAACTGCTTGGTAACACTTGTTGTATGTTACCAAGTTGTATGTGTTGTACTATGTTACATAGTACACACATGTACTATGTGTGCCAGGTCCTGGATTCAGTGCTCTACAGGTGGTGCTATTTCATTTAATCCTGTCCGACACCTGATATAGAATAACCACCTCATTTTATAGAGACAAAAGTACAACACTGAAAGCAAATTTCCTGAGGTTAAGTCAGTAAGACACAGAGCTGGAACTCAAAGATATGTGTAAGTAACAACATAGACCATGCTGCTGATATCTGACAAGGCTGGCTAATAAAGAATAGAAGAGATGATATCGCCTGCTAGAATGGGTGAGATATCACTGTGGCTAACACAGAGCCCCAGACACAGAGGGTTTATAACAATGAAGGCTTCTTGCTCAGGTTGCATATTCATCATGGCTCTTCCACATCCCCTCATCCTGGGTTCAGAATACATGAGCATCCACCATCTAGACTCCTGTCAGTTGCTATAAGTGTTGGAGGAGATGATGCCAAGTACAAGGGAATGCAAACTTCTCCATGGAGGGGACACAGTTCACTTTCTCTCATACTTCATTGATCAAAGCAAGTCACATGGATACATTTAATCAGGGGGGTAGGAGGAGATCCCTCCAAAATACTCAGAAGAGCCATTCAGGTCACTACAGGGTGTTAGCCTGTATAGGAGCTTGAGCAGTGGCCATAAGGGGAAGGGGAATAGGTGTGAAACCACAGCAGGACTGAATCAGTATGGGTTTGCTTTCTTCTACACCAGGTGGAGTTTGTCACAGAGTTGCCCAAAACGATCACTGGTAAAATTAAACGGAAGGAACTTCGGAAAAAGGAGTTTGGTCAGATGTAGTCTTCAGTTAATTCAGGACCTACTTTGTGACCTTGGACACATCCATGGCTGCCTCAGTTTCCCAATATAGTGGGTTGAGGACATTGTGTGGGGAGGGTTGATTTGGAAGGCTATGTGGACATCCAAGTCCCCCAGATTTTTGTTCATTCAAGTTAAGTTTAGTTCCAACTGTTCTGCGAAGTCCTCTCTTATTTTAGATGGCCATGGTGAACTCATGGATTGAGACTGCAGGTAATAAAATGGTGACATCCATAGCAACATCACCTCTGTGTGGTACATTTATTCTGTTTCTGAACCTTTGTTAAATTCTTTCCCAATATAATTATCTCTAATCCTCAATCAGATCCAGGTCTCCCTTATGGCACTAGAGTCCTGGGGTAGCCCCAAGCATCCATTCAATAGCCAAGACCCTGAGAAGCAAGATGGAGACTGTGTGCCTTCAGGCACGTGCCTCTGCTGTGCTCCACCCATATCCTACACAATGGTGAGGCTGCAGATGGTGATAAAGGAGGTCAGCTCTGGCTTGGTGACAACACTTAACTGCCAGATCATCCCCTATACCCATACTTCAATATGTCCTTGGACACTTTGTCTTCCCATAATATCGCTACTGCTGTGGTGTCCCAACCTAAAACCAGCCTCAGTGATTGATGGACCCAGACTCTATGGACCAGGGCACTGCAAATCTTTTCTAGGCATGTCTAAGGACTGAGAAGCTCTAATTCTAAGGTTTCCTCCACCAATTTCTCACATTCAGTGCTCTCCCAGGACACAGGAGCTCTATCCATCAGCCTGGCTGGGGAATCCCACTCACATACTCATCCAGAGCCCAGGTGTCCCTTAGCTGAGAGTCCTCCCCTAATCCACAGTATAACTGCCCTGTGGACCCAGAACCTCCCAACCCACAGGCATGGGTCATAAAAATTGACCCATCACCCTATATCCTTGAGTTCTGAGGTTGGACCACCAGGGGGAGACCAGCTGCTGAGAAGTGGGGTGGGAAGAGCACATCCTAGCTTCTCTACCCTGCCTCAGGAGTTTTCCATAGAAGTGGTACTATCAACATCAGCTTGGTTTGGGATGCATAGATACCTGCACTCACAGGGAGATATATAGACACTCAAGCATGCACAAGTGCAGGCATAGAACCAGCCCCAGCCTCAACTGAGCACTCAGACACACACCTTCTGGACAGGCTTGTGCAGTCCCATGTTTCAGGCACAGCAAGGGGAGCACATGCACACACAACATAGGGTGTGATTGCCCTGTGGCAAAAGCAGATGCACACTGGACAGGCATGCACACATAGAAGCACAGAAATCAAACACATACATATAGAAATACATACACACACACACACACACACACACACATGCACACACAATAGTGCAGACCTACAGACAAAGACACAGACATGAACACAAAAACCAGGAACCCAAAGAGATACAATCAGAAACACGAAAAGGAGTCTCAAGTTCACCCATACACCAACACATATGCAAAACACAGACATTCTCAGAGAGACACACATACTGTTATTAAAGAGACACATATGCACAGAGATTTGACACTCTTTTAGGAACCTCAATGCCCAAATGCATTCAAAGACACAGAGAGTCACCCACTGATGGCCCCACACCTGAAAACCCAATCGCCCAACACTATACTCAGAGACATTGAAATGCAGATACACAAATGTACACATGCAGATTCATAAAACCAGACAAAGGCACACTGTAACACTCCCATGCACTGGGTGATAGACAGTCCTGCCAATCATGGGAAGATCAAGAAAATAGACAATGGGGTAAACTACATCTCCCTGGGCTTTTGTGTCACTCTGGTACAATTTTCAATTCAGTTAGTGTATTTTTTAATTCCAGAATTTCTGTTTAGACAAGACAGATGTGGTGTCCCTCTAGCAGAGTTTTTAATTCAGTTATGATATTCTTAATTTCCAGATTTTCTATCTGTATTTTGCCATAGTTTCCAACACTTTGTCAATATTCTCATTTTGTTCATGTATTATTTAACTGATTTTAATTTCTTTTCTCTGTCATCTCACTTTGTAAGTTTATCATCATGATGGTAGCTAACCTAGTCTCTCATGAAGTTCTCTTAGAACCAGTGCTTTTTGCAGGGTATGGATCTCTCCTTAGTAGGAGAGAAGAATGTTACAGATTCTTCCACCAGACTGTGAAGTGGTTGAATTAATGCTTAACAGTAGTGTGAGAACTTTCTACTGGCTTTAAGATTCCTCACATGTTTTTTGTATTTTTAGTATTCATTTTCCTTAGTAATTAGAATGTCTAGGGCTTCCTGTTATATTTTCTTTACCCTAACGTTGCATTTTTACATGAAATTTAAGAATATAACTACAATGATTAAGTTATAGTAGAAGCAGTACTTTACTGAAAATTTCAAGCTAGCATATTTCTATTTGGACAAATACTGCCCAGTAATATCAGTAAACATTTTTAATCCAAATATTCTACCTTCACCCCATTCACACACTTGTCCTGACCCACAAAACCTTGAGTGGAGATGACCTTTGAATCTGACCTTGGTGATGTAAGTCATTTCTTCTTCATAGGAGGGAGTGTTGAGCTGGCCTGGAGCTTCTGGGCTTGTTGAGAAGAGACAGTGGAGAAGTCTGGCACAGTATGGGAGGATGTGGAAGGTCTTGAGAGTGCCTTCTCATCCCGGCCATTAGGGTACACAGGACACAATTCATGTTGATTTCCTCTATGTGTGAGCTGGTAGAACAAGGTGGGTTCTCACAGAGTTGGTCATTAACGTCCCCACTGCTGAAATCAGAGCAACACCTAAGCTTATCACAGGACTTGGAGTGGGAGGTACTGCGACTAGGCTCTGTTACGGAGGCCTTGTGGCTGGATGGAGGGGACAGCTTACTTGAGGGACATCCACAAGGACAGATTCCACACCTTGCCTCCCCACCACGCTCTGGCTTGATGCTCCATTCTTGGTTCTTGATCACTAACCTATACTCCACTTTTCCACACCATGTGAGGTATTTCTCCATTTCACAGAGGGGAAACTGAGGCCAAGAGAGCTGAGGCCACTCACCCAAGTCTCAAGGCTGGTTTAGGTGGGGCAGGATCCCTGCAGTATAGGCCTGGATCCCCTAGCCTATAGCCCAGAAGCTTCTTTGTCCCCTGCCCACCAGTGAAAAGTCACTTACTTTCTCCAGCACTTCCCAGTGCCTGTGTGCTTATTGATCTTGGGGACCTTGTTGGTTAACTGCAATGGGGACTCCAGCTCACATGACAGTTGGTAGCTAAGGAAGGGGGCAGCTGTGAGGCTCTCAGGAGCCTAATCTGCCTCCTTCCCAAGCCCTGCTTGAAAGCTGAAGCCCAGGTGTCCATCATTCACCAGGTTACAGTGTGTCACTGAATCTGGATACAGAACAGGCTCTCAGGGGCCAGAGTTATTCTCACTGCCCACAGTTCCTGCCCCACCTCACCTCTGAGCCTCACTGAGCCTCTCCATGCCATGGAACCAGGTCCCAAAGTGCTCGTGGGGGTCAATATCATAGTTGTTGCAGGCTGACTGCAGCAGCTTGATCTCAGAAATGATATTAAATTCCTGGGCCAGGGAAAGGTCAAGACAGTGACAGCCTGAGCAGGTGCCAGGTGAGACAAGGACCAATCTCTGTCCTTCCTCTGGTTTTCAATTTCCCTCAGTCCCACTCAGGCTCCTCTTTGTTATCATGGCTGAGTTCAAACAGTCACTCCCGCCACACTGTCCTAGACCACAGCTCAGATGCCCAACATTCTGTGGAGAGTGTCTCTCTGTATCAAATGACCCCATAAATGAAAATTGTTGGACAGAGCTGAGTCTACTAGTCAACCTCTTCTCACTATCCGCCTCACAAGTGAGGGTAGCATCTGCTCACCTTCCTCATCTTCTCAAAGTTGATGGCTCCCTCCTAGAAGGTAGATAGGCAATGAGGTTACCAAGTGGCCTCTCCACAATTAAACCAAGCTTAACACTGCACTACCATGAGAGCCCACAAGAGGGCAGGAAGCACCCAAGACTGGTCTAGGGCTGGTTTTCATTCCAGGGCATGGGGACCTGGGGACACAGGTTGGGAACACTTTTGCTCAATCATCTAGGAGAACATCTTAGAGACTGAGGCTTTGGATGAGAAGGTCCTGCTTGTCCCATGAACTGCCTGACCTTGGAGGACCTGGTTTCGCTCTCCTGCCAAACCTGCCTGCAGTTCTGTTGTAAAGATTTCTGGTCTGGTGTCACCAGGTGGGATGGATGTGTTGTTGAGAAGAGCTAAGTGGTTATGGAGATGTCAGGAGAGCTAGAGGTCAGGGATCATGCAGGTGATTTCTCCCCACAGACCACTCCTCCACCTCTGGCCCAGGCTCACTCATATACAGATAGTCCTCCATGGAACTGTTCAGCATCTTCAGGTCAGTGAGGAAGGTGCCAAGGTAGGGGATGATTCCCTTGATGACTTCCTGAGGCATCAGGTGGGGAGTGATCAGCAAGTTCCAGGGTCTCCCCTCTGAAAATATTTCAGCCTGACCCCACTTCCACCAAGGCCTCCCACTTGGAGTATCCTGGAGACCTTTGGTCACCTCTCTCTAGAAACCCCCTCATGGCAGCTGCATACTTGCCTTGCTTATGGTTATCCCCCAAACTTGTATTTTGCTTACCCTTGAGGTGTGACACCCCTGCGCACTGCCCTCCTGGTGGGCTGTTCCAGGTCCTACGTGTGGTCGCTGAAACTCCTCATCATAAGGTACCACCCAGTCAGGGCATGGACCTAACAGAGTACAGGGGACAGGTTTGATGGACATTTTGGGCAGTGGGGCAACAGGCAGGGTGGGCTGTGGAGTCCCCTCCACTCATTGCTTCCAGGAAGTTACTTTGTCTTCAGGCTTAGTCACTTACCACCTCCTTCTACTACCTATGGGATCTCTTGAGCTTCTTCCCTGTGCCTGCAAATTTGGAAGTCCTCCCAT